TATATATATATATAGGATTATTTTAATAATATTTATTAAGATTTTGCTTGAATTTCTCAACTTTCGGCTCTTCGGTTTCAAATTATTTCACGGAAGCCCTACATTAACTGAAAAAGATATTCATTTTCAGTTCGTTTTTCTAAAGTAAAATTACGTCTCGTTTGTGAAAACCGCCACTGAGAAAATACATTTCCTTCGAACCTTTGCAAGCGTTCTACATCACTATGAACGAAACGTTGGATCTTTTCGCCAATTAGACGTAATTATGGTTCAAAAGCTAAGCAACGGTATTATCTGTAATATAGAGTTAGTTAATCAAAGCTGACTGGCTTTATAAAGGACATAAAAAATATTCAAAATCAATTTTATTTAATCTTTTTATTTTTATTTCTCTTTCGGAACTATTTAATTAGTTTAGTTTCTTCAACTTACAGAATGAAGATATTAAAAATGCTCCGAATTTTAGTAAACAAAAATGGACCGAACCTGCCGGTAAGTACCTACACTCTGTCTTCTTTATTAGAGAAAATACGGAAAATTTGTTACCTCTTGTTAAAAGTGAAAGATATTTAGTCAACATAAAGTCGTTATTAGAGAATAACTCTAAGAAGTTTAAAGATGGGTATTAGTTTATAAGGGAAGCTAGTGATATTTTGAGATGGATAATGCCTAGTTCCCTCCAATATACCTGTTTTCCCTCCTAATTATACATCAATTGCCTCCCATCGGCTAAAACTAATAAAGTTTTTCTAGATGATTGCATCAAAAAGCTAGACGCACACGAATTTCCAAAAATTGAATTTGTTACGGTAGTGGAAACCATTTTAAAATTAAATAAATGAACATTTCATAACTGCTATATGTTTTCTTTCTGAAATTATTTTATCTTTAATTTATTGAAGTACTGAAGTGCACTATAAATATATATTTATTTTCGATAAATAAAATCGGTAAGTAGTCGTTAACTTAATTATCGGAGCTGATATGAACGGGAGGGAACTCGGCTAGTACCCGGGAGGGAACTCGGCTAGTACCCGGGAGGGAATTCGACTATCTATATTTTAAACAAAACTACCTGCGGGAGGGAATTCGGCATCACCGACTGTTCATAGTGGTAACTCGGAGTAGATCATGCAGAGTGTATAATTTCAAAATTATTTTCTAAATGTAACCGATCGTGAGGTATTGGCCGTTTAAGATTTTAAAGCGAGAATACTAAGAAAATACCACAAATTGCGCGATAAACGCCATCTGTAGTACGATGCTACATTTTAGGATTACGTATGCTCCAACAAGGTCCACTTAAATACATATGTGGATATCTACTTGTTGAAACGAATCCCGGCGTAGCTAACTAAATGGATCTTGTTGGAGCATACATATTCCTAAAATGTAGCATCGTACTACAGATGGCGTTTACCGCGCCATTTGTGGTATTTTCTAAAACGCACTGTTAAGACAGCAGGTAAAAGTTGGTCTGTGTTCTGTCGGA